CAATCCATACATCTTCAAACACCCCATCTTTCATAAAGAAGCAAAAAATATCAAATGGAAAAAAGAAAGCATATTTAACAACTGGTGCTGGAATAACTGGATTATCAACATGTAGAAGAATAAAAATAGACCCATATCTATCATCATGCACAAAACTCAAGTCCAAATAGATCAAAAACCTCAACATAAAGCCAGCCATACTGAACCTTATAGAAGAGAAAGTGGGAAGTACACTTGAACGCATTGGCACAGGAGACCAGTTCCTAAATATAACCCCAGCAGCACAGACACTGAGAGAAACAACTAATAAATGGGACCTCCTGAAACTAAAAAGATTCTGTAAAGCAAAGGACATGGTTAACAAGACAAAATGACAGCCTATAGAATGGGAAAAGATCTTCACTAACCCCACATCAGACAGAGGTCTAATCTCCAAAATATACAAAGAACTCAAAAAAAAAATGGACACCAAAAGATCACACAATCCAATAAAAAAAAATGGAGTACAGACCTAAACAGAGAAGTCTCAACAGAGGAATCTAAAATGGATGAAAGACACTTAAGGAAATGGTTAACATCCTTAGTCATCAGAGAAATGCTAATCAAAACAACTCTGAGATTCTATCTTACACCTGTAAGAATGGCCAAGATAAAAAACATTGATGACAACTTATGCTGGAGAGATTGTGGGGAAAAGGGAACACTTCTGCATTGCTGGTGGGAATGCAAGCCGGTATAATGGTACAATCCCTTTGGATGTCAGTGTGGTGATTTCTCAGAAAATTAGGAAACAACCTTCCCCAAGACCCACTTTTGGGTATATATCCAAAGGGATGCTCAATCGTGCCACAAAGGACATGTGTTCAACTATGTTCACAGCTGCTTTGTTTGTCATAGCCAGAACCTGGAAACAACCTAAATGCCCCTTAACTGATGAAGGGATAAGAAAAATGTGGTACATTTACACAATGGACTACACAGCAGAAAAAAAAAATAATGACAGCTTGAATTTTGCAGGAAAATGGATGGAGCTAGAAAACATTTATTTTGAGTGAGGTAACCCAGACACAGAAAGACAATTATCACATGTCATAGGTGGTTTTTTAAACATAAAGCAAAGAAAGCCAACCTACAAACCACAATCCCAGAGAACTTAGACAACAATGAGGACACCAAGAGAGACTTACATAGATCTAATCTACATGGGAAGTAGAAAGTAGAAAAAGACAAGATCTCCTGAGTAAATTGGGAACATGGGGACCTTGGGGGAGGGTTGAAGGGGGAAGAGAGGAGGGAAGAGGCAGGGAGGAAAACAAAGAAAAATGAAGAGCTCAATAATACACACACACACACACACACACACACACATATTGAATGTCATTGGATTGAGGAGCTTAAGGAATCAACTGACTTTCTTGACTGAGTAGAGCAGAAAGAGATCAGGCAGTCAATTCTTTCAGTTCTGTGGCCAGCCGTAAGGCATATAAAGATGACAGGCCAGCCAAGCTTGTATGGGCCATTAATGACCCATCTGTACCTCCTACCTTCTTAGCTAAGAGATTCTTTCTTGGAAGTCTAGTAGCTGTACAACAATACAAAAGAAACACAATTCTGATATATGCCATTACAACCAACTTAAGACTCTTGTTGAATATACAAACAAAATAGCACTCCATCACCATTATCCATCTAACTGTATTTTCTAACTGTGGGCGCAGCACAGAAACAGTTTACAAAACAGCTTCCCCTCTGGAGACTAAGGATTAGCCTGGTTAGCGAGGATTATCACAAACACAAGTTACTGAAAAACAAGGTGAAAGTCATTTGACCAGTGAGGCGTTATTTATCTTAAAGCTTAAGACTTAAGCACTAACACTACCTGCCATAGATGAAATGACGTTAACTCCAGAGTTCATTAATTTAGCAGTGAACTATTTTACCACACTGCCAGCCTTCAATCATAACCCAGATGAACACAATCATATCTAAAGAAGAGGCGCTTTCCCCCCATTTGTTTTTCTTCCCAAAGAGCTCTTTGTATTATTGAGAAAACCTGGACTTTCCCTCCAACCTCTGTTCATTAGGTCGAAGTCAGGAGTCCTGCTTGTATCTGGCATGGTAATATGTGCCTTAACCCAGCACTGTGGAAGCAGAGGATGGCTCCTGTGAGTTCAAGCCCCCCCCCCCAAAAAAAAAAGAAGAAAAGGGAGGCTGGAGAGATGGCTCAGTGGTTAAGAGCACCGTCTGTTCTTCCAAAGGTCCTGAGTTCAGTTCCCAGCAACCGCATGGTGGCTCACAACCATCTGTAATGTGGTCTAGTGCCCTCTTCTGGCCTGCAGGCATACATGCAGACAGAATACTGAGAATACTGTATACATAATAAATAAATAAATCTTTAAAAAAAAAAAAAGATGAAAAAAGGAGTCCTCCTTTTCCTGACAGACATGATGGTGTGAGGTGAGGCCATCGTCACTGATTATTTACATCTCCTGGGTTGAAAGCACTCCACTAAGTCTGTGTTCTACAGATTATAAACAGAAGAAAAAAACAAAAACAGGTGTTCCTTGAAGAAGTCAGAGGAAATGGAATCTGAACAGGAAATCAACAGTGTCTTCTGAAGTAAACTCTAAGGAGTTGAAGAATTAGTTCTTCTACATATGAATTCATAAGTTTTAGTGGTAAACTAATTAGTGTGATTATTATTTTTAGAAGATTAGTTTTTGAGTCCAGTCAACATGACTTCCACTTTTCATTTTCATAATATTCGTTGTGCTTTGGTTAAATACTGTTAGTCTTCTATGACAGCTTCCCACTTGTTTCTGCGGGAACGAGGTAAAAGAAAATAGTCATAAAATTCACCTAACCTTTTGGGATAGCTAAGAATTTGGTAAAGTGTTTAAAAGATTCTTGAATATTTAGAATTATATCTAATTTGTAAGTTTGAAATATTTCAACTAAATAAAATCTCAAGAATATAAAAGATACAGATGTTACATGTTAAAAATTTCTAGTTCAAATATTAGCACACAAAATAATTTCTGCATCCATTACGGATACTGACTGATCCTCTTAAACCAACTCTAGATGTCCGTCAATGAACAATTACTGTTTTATTACTTCTATTTGGGACCAAAGTACAAACTTCAGATCACTTTCCTCATGTACTAGTCTTATCAGTAAGAGACTGGGGACTCAAAAGCTCCACCTCAGCTCCAAGAACAAAATAGCAGCCTTATGAGGAGAAAAGAAAGGTTAACAAATGGCTCCACCAGTATTTTTGCAGTAGTAATACTGACATTCTGCAGGTTTCCAAGGTGACAGTCGAAGGGGAAAAACTTCGTTGTGTTTCTTAAAACTTAGCTTATTTTATAATATCTTGAAAGTGTGGCTCTCGAAGGTTAGAAAAAATAAAGCATTTAGAGAAAGACTGACTTGTGTTGGGGTTTAGAAATCATTAGCCTAAGTATAGCACTTGGGCACGCTGAGAACCTTGAACTAAGGAAGACTTGAAGACTTCCAGAGGCAAATTCTCTTGCTTTCTTATCTCTTGTCCCATCGGATTCCTCTAGTCACAGAAACAAGAATTCCTTTTCCTCCAGGATGATAAACTTGCTGCCTGGAAAGGCCACTCCTGCCTTAGAAAATATACTCTTTTTTTTTTTAAAGATTTATTTATTTATTATGTATACAATATTCTGCCTCCGTGTATGCCCACATGCCAGAGGAGGGCGCCAGACCTCATTACAGATGGTTGTGAGCCACCATGTGGTTGCTGGGAATTGAACTCAGGACCTCTGGAAGAGCAGGCAGTGCTCTAAACCACTGAGCCGTCTCTTTCAAGAGGGGTTCTGTCCCTGTAACAGGGTAAGGAATGCTACACAAAGGTAGACAGAAAAACAGGAAGACAGGCACAGCACAGCATGATGGCACACAGCTTTAATGCCATCACTTGGGAAGCAAAGGCAAGCAGATCTCTGAGTTCAAAGTCAGCCTGGCCGACAGAGCAAGTTTAAGGATGATAGTTTACTTGCTTGAGAAAAAAACTGATGAGAAAAATAGCCCCTGATGGTGTGTTCGAACTCATTGTTACTATCTCATGATGTGTATCTATATAAAATACAACACATTAAAAATCATATTTCATATTATAATGTGCATTATGTGACAAGGTTTTTTAAAAGGTTCGAGTTTAACCACGTTGGCCTTTATACATAAAATAGGCTGTGGTCCTGTTAATTAATTGTAAAACTCCTATGTATATAAAGTAATTCTGATACCTGAAAACCCTAAGCGGCCACGGACATACGTAAACAGAAAAGGCTGTAGCAAACGATTTTACAGGAAAAAAAAAAAAGGTCAAGATAACCTGAATTCCTGTATTTCTAGTTTGACGACGACAAGATAAGCAAACTCAAAAGACAACGGATGATCCAGATAATGTATGTCAACTCCTAAATGTGGGGCCCCAGTCAAGAAAGTGAGAGGGGAGCAGACTCTGTAACGGTTGCAGGACAAAAGTTATTGGAACAGGCTGAACTTTAATTACAAACTCAAAAGGATTATCATCCGGACAGAGTTAACTGATCAAAACACTGTGTTGCAACTGTTTAATTTTTCACTTTGAAACTCGGGGATCAGCCTTCCCAACTGTCTCTAGTCAGGTGTTAGCATGTTAACGATTCAATTAGGTGAATCCAAGGAAATATTAGCGTGAGAGCTAGGGATAGGAAATACAGACTTTCAGGAGAGATGATTTCACTGTGTCCGTGGAGATGAGCAAGTCAGGAGGCAAGCTGCGGGGGGGGGGGGGGGGGGGGGGGGGGGGGGGGGGGGGGGGGGGGGGGGGGGGAGGAGCACGAGAGGCACATTCGGGAAACAAGCCCACGGGAAGGACTATCAACAGGAGGCAGCTGCCGGGGCGGCCTGCCGGTCGGCACCGGTGTCTGCTGGCAGCCCGCCCTCCCGCCCTACTTTTCCCTGCGTCAAAGCCACCAAGTCACCTGGAGTGGGAGTTCCGGAGCGACTCGATCAGCCGCTGCTTCTGCTGCTGGAGACTCGTGAGGCCGGCGGGGGACCCGGCCGCGGAGGATGACGCGCTCTTAGCCAAGGGAAAGAGCCAGCTCATCCTCCTCGGGTCCCGGCCCGAAGCCCTAGAAGCTTCGGGCCTGCTCCTCCTCGCTCAGCCTAGCCTTTCCGGAGCGACCGAGCACGGCCGGCACGCTGAGGGGAGCCGCGCCTTCTCCCCGACGCCGAACTCGCCGAGTCCCTGGCCCCCCGGCGGGACGAGCTTCCACGGCGGGTGGCTGGGAAAGAACGACTCGCCTAGACCACGGGTCCCCGGTCCGCTCGCGTCCAACACCAAGCCAGCCGGTGTGAGCGAAACCCGCCGCCTGCCCGGAGCTCTGCGGCCCGGCGTCCGTCCGTCACCTGCCCGCCCCGCCCTCCCGAGCGCCCCGCCCCCTCGGCGCCTGCGTCATCATGCCGCGCCCTCGCCGGGACGTGCGAGGTGCGACGGCGGCGCGCTGGGCAGCGCAGCTGCAGCTCCCCTTTCCCCTTTCCAGGGCGAGAGGTGTCTATGGGGCGCCCGCTGCCGCCGTCGGTCCCGCCACCGCCGCTGCCGCCGCCGCCGCCGGGTGCTATCTCTATGGCGAGGAGGAAGAGGAGGAGCGCGAGCTCAGAGACACAAGTAGATCCGGCGGGGGTTCCGGGCGAGCCTGGGGGGGTGTGGGAAGCTGAGAGGGCGCGCGATGGCGCCCGCTGAAGCGCGGCTGTGGCGGCCCCGGAGCTGGCCGCCTGGGAAGGGGGTAACGGGCCGGGGGGCCTGTCAGGAGTGCGGCGCGCGGTGATGACGCCACCGCTTTGTACCTGGGACTCCGTTGTGGGGGAGGAAATTGAGAGTGGAGGGCGGTGGCCTACTTGGGAACGGGGAGCTCGCTCGCCCTCGCAGCGGTGGCGAGGCAATCTGGCTCTAGTCAATGCTCTCGGCACCTTCCCTCTGGCCGTCTGCCAGCGAAGAGGGTTATCAGTGACATGAACGCGGCTGTGCTTTCTTCACGTCGCGCCGGGAGCCCACGGAGGACATGCGACCTCAGTAAATGAGAAGGCCTGGGGTGCCACTGCAGGGCCCCCGAGACCCGCAGTCGGGAGAGGGGAGGAGGAAAGCAGGGTTAAATTGCAGTGTTTCCGTGGTGTGTGCGTGCGCCGGTGGGAGCAGGGGAAGAAAGAAGGCGTGCCCAGTAGCACCTTGGGTTTCTGAGATTCCTCCAGCTTCCGATGCACGAGTTGAGGACGCAAGGCCATCATCCTCTTTTACTCGGTTTTTGTTTGTTTGTTTGTGGTCTTTTGTTTCGTTTTTCCTTCTAACATTTGGTATTTTCTCGCCTAAGAGTCAAGTCTTCAGTGTGTCTCTATTACTTCATCATTGTGTAACGTGAATCTTGTGTCTATGGACCAGAAACCTGAGGTCCCTCTTTGGTAACCAGGGGAAAATGGTCGGTTTTTTTTTTTTTTTTTCAAATTCGAAAATTTTAGATGCCCATACTTTACAGTCTTCTTTCTCCCTCCCGCCCTATGAACACTGATTTCTGAGATTGCCTGATGTGATGCGTTCTCAGAACTTTTAGGGTTTTTTTTTGTTTCCTCTGATTTGATTTGAATGAATACCAACACCAATAATGCAGAGTTTTTTTAATCAAGTAAGACTTGATTAAATGTTTTGTTAAGACTAAAAGCAAGTACTGCTTTTGTTACAGAGATTTTTTTTCTCTTGTAATTTCAGTTTGTTTTGTAAATCATAAAACGGATCATAGTTTTGTGTGGAGTTAAATGGGAGCAGATTTTAATTAATGAAACTTGTATTCAACTGGAAAATGGATGTTGTGGTTCTTTGTTAGCTGGCTTGTGTACCTTCAGGAAAGTAACTCTCTCAAACTTGATTTTGTTACGAATCTTGAACTTGAAATAAGCAGCCTTAGGTTTATACCAGCCCTGTCTTGTGGTTCACATTTATGATATAGGTGGTTTTTATTTCAACAGGTGCACAAGTAAAGGGTAGAATATTTTTATGAAACGCATCTTCAATCAAGTGTAACGTTTGATGCTTGGCATCTAGGCTCCTTGCGCTGTCACTATGCCAGCAGCCACTGTAGACCATAGCCAAAGAATTTGTGAAGTTTGGGCTTGTAACCTGGATGAAGAGATGAAGAAAATTCGTCAAGTTATCCGAAAATATAATTATGTTGCCATGGTATGGACACGACTAAACCTTTAAGATGCCTTTGGTGAGGTCAGAGTGGGAATTTTGTGTCTGCCTGTGAGTGTGTATGAGTGTGACTTGTTCTTTCACTGCCCTGGGTCTTGCTGATTAAGCAAGGTTGCCTGGCCAGGAAGCCCCGGGGAATCACCTGCCTCCTCTTTCCAAGCACTTAAATTACAAGCACATGGACTATGCACTTTTAAGAACATAGATTCTAGGGACTGATATCCAGTCCTCTTGCTTGCGTGCAGAGCACTTTACCAAGTGAGCTGTGTCTCCAGGCCCTGAAGTGGAATTTTAAAAATCTTGATTGAAATGCTTTTCATTGATATCAAGGGATTAATTTAATCATTAAAAAAATGCCTAGTTTCTCCAGCAAAAGCCATCAGAAATAAACCTGTATTTGACAGGGTGAGTTTGTTACTACTAGCATTAATCAACAAGGGATTAGGAGTCATGGGCATTGTAATAAAAGTGTTAGAAGTACTTTAGGATTTGGGCTTGAGTCAGGTGGTTTTAAGGGCTTACTGGAGACAGGCTATACCATGGATTGGATATTCTCAGGAAGCTGGTCTTCCTGGGGTTCGCAGCCGCTGAGAAGACAAGGGTGATACAAGACTGCAGAGGGCATTAGCTAGATTGAGAAATTGCATCTTTTTTTTTTTTCTTTCTTTCTTTTTTTGGTCTTTGTACTTAACTGATGTTTACATTTTGTGAAACTGATTGCATTCAACAGGAGAAGTCTAGATCCTAACTAAGAATGTCAGCTAGTTCTAACCAGTCCAAGGCCCTGCTTCTAGTATCAGATAAGGTTTCAGAAGCCAGTGAGTTCCTGGGTATCTTTTTCAAACAAACAAAAACCCATTCAGATCTCTTAGAAAAGCATTGTTAAAGCTGCAAAAACATCTTAGGTTGTCTGAAAGCTCTGGTCTTATAGGTGGTATTCAGTCTGCCTAGACGGTACAGCTATTTTTCTGCTTTGCTATTTCACTGTGTGTATTTGTTACAGCTCATTTTTTATTTTCTAGGTCCCCTTGATTATTAGCTGTAGAAAGAAGTTCTTTAGTGTCTTACACATCTGTCCACAACTCCCCTCAAGTCTAGTACAGTCATTACAGAATCTAATAATTGGCTGTTGGTTGTACTAAATTCAATAAGTTATGATCTCTTTACTGCTTCATATTGACTTACTGTTTCATTTTTGTTTTTAACTAGCCTTAATTTGAATTCTCATGCTGAACTAAAACATAATTTTCTTAGTATCATAAATTTAAAAAAAAAGTGCTTCTCTGAGAATGAACAGGATGCTTGCTTAAAAGAGAATTATCTGTGCATAGACACTCCGTGTAATACAGGTGTACTTATCCATAATTATAGCTAAAACTTTCTGTTTGGGTGGGGGGAATATTTTATAGGCAGTAGAGATTCCTAGTTGTCATTTATTTCTCAGATGATAAGGAATGGCTGCAGTACAGAAGCCTATTAAAGAAAGTGGGAATCTTAACATGCTTCCTGTGAATTTTCTTCTCCTTGGAAATGAAGCAAATATTAGCTTGAGTTTATTATGAGTTATTTGTACATGGTAGTAAATTATTGACAAATTTAAGCTGAGAGAAAGTAGTTAAGTTTATAGAATTTGGGCATCTAAAGAGTAATACTCTTCATTCTTGAAGTATACCTAATAATTGAGTATGATTGAGTATGAACATACTCAATTATTGTATTATATCATTATTGTATTTAATATCATTGTAATAGAATTCTCTGACTTGCATCAAAAATTATCCTGAGAGTATGAATTCTATTTATAACCATTTAGTAAATAATGCATCTTAAAATTATTTTACAGGACACCGAGTTTCCAGGTGTTGTTGCAAGGCCCATTGGAGAATTCAGGAGCAATGCTGACTATCAATACCAACTATTGCGATGTAATGTAGACTTGTTAAAGATAATTCAGCTAGGACTGACATTTATGAATGAGCAAGGAGAATACCCTCCAGGAACTTCAACTTGGCAGTTTAATTTTAAATTTAATTTGACGTAAGTGGGAATTAAATATATATCCCCACCCTTTTTGTTTCTAGCTTAATTTTAGAAATTGAGTTTGAATGTAGTGAAATTTTACATTAATTTGCTATAGTTTCCCTGGAAATTTATTAAATATAGAATTCAAAAAACTTAGGCTTCTTATTAGGCAAAAAGAACTGAGATAATAAAGACTTCTAACTTCAAAGACTATTTAATTATAGAGTTGTTATTTTTAAAATATAACTGCTGCTTTTCTGGAAAGTTGTAAAACTTTATTTTTGTTTTCTGTTGTTCATGGTTATTTAAGGTGCTGCAGATTAAACCTGGGGTCCTAAAGGATATTGATTTTACTATTGCATTTTGTTGTTGTGTTGCTCCTTTGAGACAGGGTCTCACTACATAACCCAGACTGGCCTAGAACTTTTCTATGTAGACAGTTCTGGCCTCAGACTCCTAGAGATCCATCTGCTTCTGTCTCCCAAGTGCTGGGATTAAAGGCATGTGTCACCACACTCACACTGAAATTCATATAATTGGGGAGGCACTTTTGCTAACTAAGCAAGCAGGTACCATTTAGCTACAATCCACTTTAGATTTGTTAGGATTGTCCTGTGATGATATTTTTTTATTACACTCATCCTTTGCATCTTAAGTAGGTACTTATATCATGCAGTAAGTTGTTTATTGGAAAGTTAGGTATATTTTCTTTTCAGATCTGTGTGCTTTTACGACTATTCCCAGATAACCCACAAAACCTCTTCATCTACATATAAGAAATATAATTAATAGTATTCTTGAACCTTTGATATACAAGAATCTGATGTCTAACTAAAATCTTGGGTCTAAATTCCATTTTCTTCATTTAAATAGTTGTACATTAGATACTGTAGTCTTGATAACGGGGGGGGGGCTATGCGAAGTTGAATCCCTCCTTTTGACATTATGACACAATGTTTTTGAATTTTTGTTTCTGAATTT